TCCATCCATCCATCCATCCATCCATCCACTTATCCATCCATCCACTTATCCACCCATCCACCTACCCACCCATACATCTACCTACCTACCCATCCATCCATCACCCATTCCCCTACCCACCCATCCATCCATCCATTCTCCTATCCATCCATCCACCCACCCACTCCTCCATCCATCCATCCATCCATCCATCATCTACCTGTGCACCCATCAATCCACTCACCCACATACTTACCCAACAGTCACCGAGCCCTACTCCATCACTGGTCTGTGTCAGGCACTGGGCTGCTGGAGATGGTACAGACACCTTCACAGCCTAGAGAACTGGAACCTCTGTGTTATGAGTTGAGTTGTGTCCCCTCAAATTTGTACGTTGAAGTTGTAACCCTCAGTTCCTCAGAATATGATCTTATAGGATCACTGCAGATGTAATTAGTTAAAATGAGGTTATCAGGGTGGGCCCTGATCTAATATGACTGGTGTCCTTATAAAAAGGGGGGGGGGGAGATTCAGACACATACCAGACGTGCACACAGGGAGAACACCATGTAAAGACGAAGGCAGAGATTGGTGATGCTTCTATAAGCCAAGGAGTGCCAAAGATGGCCAGCAAATTGCCAGAAGCTAGGCAAGAGGCCTGGAAGATTCTTCCTCCCATTCTTCAGAAGGATCAACTTTGTTGACCCCTTGATCTTGCACTCTAGCCTCCAGAACTGTGAGACAATAGATTTTTGTTGCAATAAGCCACCAAGTTTGTGGTACTCTGTTACGGCAGGCCCTGGCACTAATACATTCTGGTAGGAGAGTGAAGCCTGTGTGATCCTACCTGATCTGGACTGGAGCTCAGGAAGGGCTTCCTAGAAGAAGTTATGCTGAGCTGGGCATTGAAGGATGAGTAGGAGTGTATCAGGCAGAGAAGTCAGAGAACATTCTAGGGAGAAGGAAGAATGTATGCAAAACTCAGGAAGAGGCATGAGTATATGTCAGACACTTTTCCTTGAACTTCCCTGATTTCATCTACTGTCTGCCCTGCCAAGCATCTGAGGCCTGGAAACCCACTGCCGATACCCTTTGCTCCAAGATAACAGAAAATTCAATTTTTCTAGGATGCCCCTTGGGCACAGTGGGGACATGCATCATTGTCACTAGCAGGGAGTGCTCACATGATCATATTGATGGAGGAAGGACAGCCAGATGGGCACAGGCACTGAGTAACCTTCTGGCACTTGTCAGGGTCCAAGTCCTCTGCTCTGGGGAGGGGTGCAGCTGGCCCCCATGCACATGCGACAGTGGGCAGCTCTGTGCTGGCCAGGAGCCCTCCCATAGCCTCCAAGCACTGTCCTCGGAGGCCACACACTCAGTCACATGGCGCTCGGTACAAGTCGTTTATTTCAGTTACAATAGTGCCACACCGAAACTACAGTAGCACAAAACGTAAGAATACAAAAAATAGATTCCCAGCCCCAAACCCCACATCCAAGTAGCCGCAGAGAAGCCAGACCTATGGCTCCCGGGCCTCAGGGGAGGGGTCTCTCACGGGGCAGCTGTCCACCTCCTCAGCCTTGTTTTCAGCTCGGCAGGGACAGTGGGGGTGATCCCTTTGCTTCTGTCCCTGCTGGGCCTGAGCCCTCCTCCCCCTTGGCCCCTGCCTATTCCCAGGACACCCTGAAGAAATGAATGTAGTCTACATTCCCTCTGGCTGGACCCTCAGCCCTGGGACCCTTGCTTCTGGTTGGGAGGTCCCAGCCCAAGGTGAGGACAGACACCCCTGAGGACTGTGACCGCCCACGGGGAAGGCGGGAAGGCAGGACGAGGTGGGTAGAGGAGGTACCTGGAGGGCACTAGGGCTGGGAAATCCAAACTCTGTGTGGAAGCCCCCAACTCTAGCTCCTTCTCTGGCTCCTGACCTACGTCTCTGAAAAGTGACCAGGACTGCTGCTTGCGGGGACCAGGGGCCTCATCTGGACCCCACCCCACCTCAGTGCCGAGGCTGATCTGGCTGGCCCTCTTGGGCAGGGAGGATTCTAACTTCCAGGGCGAGGTGACGGGGCACGACCAGGCCGTGGGCTGCCGAGAAGGGAGAGCCAGGGTGAGCACTGGCTGCTCTGGCCTCAGTCACAGGTGCCTGCTTCCCCCAGAGAGAGCTCCTGCACCACAGTTTCAAGGAGGGAAGCCACTCCTGGTTCCCTGACCCCACAGGCTAGACTGATCACATTGGGGGAACCTTTTCCTCAGTCTGCCTTGGCTGAAAACATCTCCAGATGAGGAGTCCCTCTAGTTACAAGTATCGTCTCGATTCAACCCAAGGGGCTGAGGGTGGGATGGGGCTCAGGGCAAGTTCAGGAGTCCTTCAGATTCCTGACCTTGGTGCCACTGCCCTGTAGGCTAGAGCTCCCAGGGCGCCGTGAGGGGCAGCTCTGTGGGCACTGGGAGTAGGGGGTATGGCCTTGCATTATAGTCAGGACACTTGAAGGCTTCACTGAGGAAGCAAAGGGGCACCTGGTAGGGGGTTGTCTCCTTGGGGTAGAGCCTGGGCTGCAGCCTCATATAAGGCACTAGAGATGGAGGGAGGGCAGGCGGGGCTGCATGTGGTCCCTGGAGCCAAGCCCAGGCCAGGGGTGCAGGACGGAGCTCAGAGGGAGGATCTGGGCCCTGTGGGACAGGAGAGCGGTCTTCTCTTTTGTCCTTCCTCTGCAGAAACGGGTCAGCAAGGCAGACCCTGGAGTGGCCGGGCTGGGAGGGCTGCTGTAGACAGGGAACCAGACCCTGGGACACACATGCAGCGGCCAGAAGAGGGACAGAGAGGGGCTATCTACGGCACGGCAGAGAGGATCTGATGGAGGGCCAGGTCTTGCAGGCCTTCTGCTGTCCAGGCCCAGGGCATCAGGGTGCCCCAGGATGGGTTTGAAGGCCATGACCTGGCCTCATCCTGCTGCAGCCATCAATTCCCTGCTGCAACTTTGGGGATCAGACCGTCCTAGTTGGGGTTCCCACTGTTGGACTCTGGGGACAGAGGCAGGCAAGCTGCGAGGGGCGGTGCCCATGAGCTGGCCTCTGCCCCTTCCTGGCCTCCACACCTCTCCTCTCTACACCCTGCGACTGCAAAACCAGGTGACAGAGGCTGAAACTGTAAATGCCAAGGGATGGGCAGCTCTCTACTTGGGGACGTGCTCAGTGGCTGGGGATGACTGCTTCAGGCGACCTCACGGCGAGTGAGGAGGAGAGGGGTAAATCAGTGGGGCTTCCCTTATCCACAGGTTATTTAGAAAAACAGAATATAATAAATATACCAATCCTTTCATTAAAAAAAAAAAAAAAAGTGTTTTAAACTCATTATTTCCCTGAACATTTCCAGTGTATTCCACAATGTTTAAAAAATAGTTTCCCCAAAAATATATCTTTAAAGCATTTGACACAGTGGCATTTCTGGTGCTTCTGGCTCCGGATGTGGGCGGGGGGTTGCGTCCACTGCCCTTGTCAGCGTGGGGCCCAGGCCTGGTGAGCAACCAGCCTGATACCCAAATGCCCACTGGAGTTGACGCACATGTGCCTGGGATGCCAGGGTCTTCACAGGGGATCAAATCTCGGATTGTGTTGAGAACCCACATCGTAGGCTCAGTTCTGGCTGAAAACCCTCCAGTGCGGGGTAGGGGGGCCCTGGGTGGCCAGGGGGGCGGGGCAGTGCCCTGGACGCTGGATGGAGAGATGGCCTTGTTGGCCCCACCTGGGGGCTCATCCTCTGTCTCGGCTCGAGGTGCTCCCACCCTCACCAGACTTCGCACTTGTGATGAGGGTTCATGGGCGAGCCAGGGGGGCAGTGGAAGTGTTCTGAGAACTCCTTGGAGTTGGAGACGGAGCCAATGACCCGGAAGCGGGAGGGGCTGTGAGGATCGGTGATGAGGCCTTCGTGGGAGCTCTCGGGCGTGCGGACAGAGCACCAGACCTTTGTGAAGCAACAAAGGAGAAGCTGGGTCACTATGGGGCCCTGAGGCTGCCAGACTGCCCCCATTCACGGCAGTAGGGGGATGGGCCCCCGCCTGGTTCTGAGAGCCTGGGGAGTCAGCTGGGGCTGCCGAGTGTGTGGGGAAGAGACGCTGGGCTGGGATGTCCCCCATCCCAGCATCCTCTACTGCAGTTACCTGGGTCTGTCCTGGGCCTCTGCATTAGATTTCATCTGAACAAAGGGTTCTGCCCTAAAACCAGTCTGAAAACCTTGAACTGAGTCCACATCACTCACCTCCTGGGCAGAACAAAAAACTGTTTATGGCTCTGGGCACCAACAGAAGACTATACATTAATGCCAACTCAAGGGACATCCTGGGGCATTTTGAGTTTAGGAAACTTCTAGAACCCCTGAACCAGGAGGCCCTTAGCACTTACCTGTCCTCTCATCTACCTGATACTGGAGACCTTTTAATGGCATTCACTGGATTTCTCTAATGGCAGGAAGCTCACCTTACAAACTGGATGCCCGATGGACGGGCCAATGAACTAGGAGGTTATCAATTGAGGGGAACTTGCCTTTTGGCTCTCAGAGCTCTTGGAGCTTCAAGATGGCAGAATGTGCCTGCGTTTGGCGTTTTTTTCCTCTAACAAACTCACCTGTGCAAAGCCCAGGAAGAAGAGCTGGTTATTGGTGAGGCCCAGGGTGGGCAATGTCTGCTCAGCCCCGTTCTTCTCCACCCAGTTCTGGTAGGCCTGGGAGCAGAGAAAACAAAGCTCAGCGGCTCCCTCGACACAGGAGCAAACAGGGCGACAATGGAGGGCCAGTGCGGGAGATCCCGGGAAGCTCTACCCTGCTGGGGCGGGGACTCACACTGCGGAGTCTGGGCCTCGGCTCAGGCTAGAGGAGTGATCTTCACCCGCACCCATCCTGAAGGGGAGCGCCGTTCAACCCTAGGCTTAGATACCACCGACACGCCCACAGCTCTCAAGTGCCTCCTTCCAGCTCCAGCCTCTTCCCTGACTTGTTTATTCAACTGCTTCAGCTGGATTTCCACGATGCATCCCAGAGCTAACATGGCACAGCAGAATGAGAGGTTGTACACGCACACGCACACGCACGCGCATACACCTTCCCACCACAGTAAATGGTACCACCAACCGCCTAGTTACTCAGACTCCAGCCCCAGAGTTCTTTGAGCTTCTCTTTTTTTCTTTCTTCCTTTTGTTTTTTTTAAAGATTTTATTTTGGGGGCGCCTGGGTGGCTCCGTTGGTTGAGCATTCAACTCTTGATTTCAGCTCAAGTCACGATCTCACATTTCGTAGGACCGAGCCCCACGTCGGGCTCTGTGCTGACAGCATGGAACCTGCTTGGGATTCTTTCTCTCTCCCTCTCTTTCTGTGCTTCCCCTGCTCTCTCTCCCTCTCTCTCTCAGAATAAATAAATACATAATTTAAAAAAGATTTTATTAAAAAAATTTTTAATATTTATTCTTGAGAGAGAGACAGAGAGACAGAGCATGAGTGGGGGGAGGAGCAGAGAGAGAGGGAGACACAGACTCGGAAGGAGGCTCCAGGCTCTGAGCTGTCAGCACAGAGTCCAATGCGGGGCTCAAACTCACAAACTGCAAGATTATGACCTGAGCGAAAGTCGGACGCTTAACCGACTGAGCCAGGTGCCCCAGATTTTATCGTTAAGTAATCTCTACATTCAATGTGGGGCTCGAACTCACAACCCCGAGATCAAGTGTCACACACTCTTCTGACCGAGGGAGCCAGGCCTCCCGAGCTTCTCTTTCAATCATCCAAACAATCCAAATCTGACGACTTCTTACCCTTGTCATGGCTTTATCCCTTCTCTTGCCGGATAATCTCACAACAGCTTTCTAACTAGACTCCTTGCCTCGAGCTGGTCCAATTCCAATCCCCTCCTGACACAGCATCTTAAGCCATCCTCATAAAGCGGGGGTTGGCAAACTTTCCCGTGAAGTAAATAGCTTCAGTTTTGGAGGCCAAAGGGTCTAGTTGAAAGTACTCAGTTCTGGCGTTGTCAGTGTGAAAGCAGCTGCAGACAACGTGGAAGTGAACGGGCCTGGCTGTGTCCCCCTAAATTTTTTATTTACAAAAACAGGCTGAAAGCTGGATTTGGCCCACAGGGTGTAGGTTTGCTGACCCTTGTTTTAAAGGATAAACTAGATCGTGTCATTGTTCTTTTTAAAAATCGTGCGGGGGCGCCTGGGTGGCGCGGTCGGTTAAGCGTCCGACTTCAGCTCAGGTCACGATCTCGCGGTCCGTGAGTTCGAGCCCCGCGTCGGGCTCTGGGCTGACGGCTCAGAGCCTGGAGCCTGTTTCCGATTCTGTGTCTCCCTCTCTCTGTGCCCCTCCCCCGTTCACGCTCTGTCTCTCTCTGTCTCAAAAATAAATAAACGTTAAAAAAAAATTAAAAAAAAAAAAAAAAATCATGCGGCAGCTCCCATTGTACAGAACAAAACCCAAGCTCCTTAAGCCGTTGACCCAGACCTGGTGAGCTCTGGTCCCGATCACTCCTCCAACATCCCCTCCCTCCGCTCCACCCCTGCCTGTCTTCCTGTCTTTGACCACGCCGGGCTGTGTCCATTTGCACGTACTATTCTATTCCAGCTTTCCCTGCCTCTTCCTCGTCATTCAAGGTCTCAATTCCAATGTCATCCCCTCCAGAAGGCCTACCCTGACCACCCTCCCCCCTTATTTTTCACTACCTTGCCCTATTTTATATTCTTCATCTTATCAGTACTTGAAATTATCTTATTTGTTTACTTGTGTATTGGCTTTCTTCCCCCTCCCCTGCCCCACAAAATTGTGAGTTTTGTGAGAGCACGATTCCTGTCTGTCTTGGCACAAAATCTCCAGTGCCTAAGGCAGCCCATGGTGGGCAGAAGGTTTTCAGTACATTTTCACTGACTCCTGGACTTCAGGCAGGTTGCTGAGTGTTTCTGGGCTCAGTTTCCTCACCTGCAAAATGGGGGCTGTACTACCTAATGGTAAAACTGTGGGGGTACTGAGCAGAGTCTGGCACATAATAAGGCCTCAATAAATGGCACCTCATTTATTTATTTCTGCTCTTACTGTCACGGCGAGAAGGAGGCTCTGTATTGCTCTTTTGAGAGACATCTCCTTCTCTTCTCGTGGCCTCTGCTCTCTCTCCCTTCCAGTTCAGCTGACCTTTCGGAGTGTCACTCTGTGCCCAACTTTCTTTTTAAAAAAATTTTTTTAAACATTTATTTACTTTTGAGAGACAGAGAGAGACAGAGCGAAGCAGGAGAGGGGCAGAGATAGAGGGAGACACAGAATCTGAAGCAGGCTTCAGACTCCAAGCTGTCAGCTCAGAGCCCGACGTGGGGCTCAAACCCAGGAACTGCGAGATCATGACCTGAGCTGAAGTCGGACTCTTAACCGACTGAGCCACCCATATGCCCCTATCTGTATCAACGTTCTGCCACGCCAGCGATGTAGGGAGTAGGTGTTCACAGTCAAGCACACTGGGGCTC